TGTTCTTCCAGCCTTCTGTTTGTCTACCTTAAATTAAGTTTGCCAATGCCTTGTATCTGAACTGCTATTTGAGGCTATCTGCAAACCAAATACTTTTGCACTAATGGCCACCATATCTACCATGCTTATCATTACAGAAAAGTTGTATTTAAACAATAGCTTTCCTGATATGTTCTGACAAGGGCGGGCCAGTGAGAGTAGTGTGTGGAGGCAGGGTTAGAACTTGTGGAGAGTCAGAGCTGCATTCAAAAAGAAAAATCAAGATGGTGATTGGCCAGTGAGTATTTCCTATTTGTCTAATCTAAAGCACAGTATTTCAATTGGGGTAAGTAGAACATTTCTGGTAATAGTAAGAACATAAGGCCAAACAAGCCCAGGGGGTTTAATTCAAATTGAAGAAATCAATTCGTAAATTCAAACATTACAGATGGCAGAGCAGGTGATATGTTGCAACTACAATATATAGGTGTTAATGTATACCAGTGTGATTGAAGGCAAACACAGCAGTACATTTCCGCCGCTTGAGGAGCTTCAGTTTAGAATCATTGAGGTCAAGCTGCAAACTCTGTATATCGTAGGGGGCAGGGGAAGAAGGGTGAAGCTACCTAACACTTTGTTCCAAAAAGGCATAAAGTCTTATAGCTGAATGTCCATGGCCTTTGTAACAAACAGGTGAATTGTCAGCTCAAATGGAAATAAATTTGCGTGTCTTGTTAGCCATTACATAACAATGCTCAGACCCGAACATTTCAGAGTACTTGCAATTTTGGATGGACAGGAGACTCAGAAAGCATGGTGCGGTTAATCAAGAATAACATTGGTACAACAATGAGAGGTAACCTAAGTTCTAAGGATGAAGATATAGAATCAGTTTGGGTAGAGATGATTTAAAAAAAAACAAAGGTAAGAGGTAAATTGTCAAAGTAGTTCACAGGCCTCAATGGTGGTGATGCTGTGTGACAGAGTAAAGTGGAATAAATTAATGGAGTGTTTAAGAAAGAGATAGCAATGATCTCGTGAGATGTTATTTTATGTGTAAATTGAATTTATCAGATTGGCAAAAGTAAACTACTAGATCTGTTCAGTGTTTTTATGACAATTTCATAGAGCAGTATGTTGTAAAGCCAACCAGAGAACAGGATATTCTAGACCTAGAAGTGTACAATGACAGGATTAATTAATGAGCCCATAGTTAAGGAGCCTCTAGGTCACAGCAATCATGATATGATTGAATTTTGCGTTCGAATTGGAGAGAAGGATGGGTCGAAAAATAGTGCCCTAAACTTAAAGGGAAATATAAGGATATAACGACCGAGCTGGCAAAAATGAAGTAGGAGAGTAGGTCAGTTAAGAAACAGTGACAAACACTTGAAGTTGATATTTCATAATACTCAGTGAAGATGCATTTCAATGAGGAAGAAAGGTTCCAGGAGAAGGATGAATCTTACATGGCTAACTAATAAAATTAAAAATAGTATCAAATTGAAAGAAGAACAGTACAATTCTTCAAAGATTAGCAGTACCTTGGAAGCTTGGACAGAATTTAGAAGGCAACAAACTATTTCCAATTATTAATTCTCCAGTCTCACTCGCCGAAGAATCCATGTTCACTTTTCCTTGTTAAATACATGTGAAAACTTGTATCATCATTTTGTATTTTAAGCAAACGTCCCCTCATTCTCTTATTTCTCCCTTTTTACTTTTTAGCAAAGTAAAGTGGCCATAGTCCTACCTGACCATAGGCCTGCTCTCTCAGAAAAAGTGAGACACAATTGATGGTGGTTTAACCTGAGGATCACCATGCCTCAGGTAAGGGGAGAGGTTGAGAAGGACACCTCTTCATGATAACCTCAACAGGTGCAGGAATTGAACCCATGCTGTTGGCATTACTCCACATCACCTCACCCCTTGCCTGAGGTATGGTGACCCTCAGGTTAAACCACCACCACACGTCTCTCTCTAATGGGAGAGAAAACCTATGGTCTGGTAAGACTAAGGCTACTTTACCTTCACGGGAAAGTAAAGAGGAGGGAGAAATAAGAGCATGAGAGAAAGCTCTCTTAAAATATAAAACAATAGTACAAGTTTCTACAGATATTTAAAAAGAAAAAGAGTAAAGCAAAGTAAAGAATCTTTTGGCGAGTGAGTCTGGGGAATTGGTAATGGGAAATAAACAAATGGCGGAAGTGTTTAACAAATATTTTGTATCATCTTCACTGTAGAACATAGAAATAACATCCTAGAAAATTCTAAAACTCAAGGTGAAAGAGAGGAGGAATGTAAAACAATTACAATCGTCAGAGGTAAGTTAGAAAATGATTATGGAAATAGTAGATGCACTGTTGTAACTTCCAAAATTCTCTGCATTCTGGAATGTTATCGTCAAATTGGCAAGTAGCAAATATAACTCTTCTAGAAAAGAGGGAGAGAAAAGCAGAAAACTGTGCTAGTTTGCCTAACCTCAGCCACAGGCTAAATTTTAGAATCCGTTGTTAAGGAGCCCATAGCAGGGTACTTCAAGGTGACGGCAGAGAAGGTGCTTTAGCTGGAGCTCATCCACTCCATCTGTTTCTTTCTCTTTGTTTCTCTTCTTTGTTTGTTTTTCTCTCTTGGTGTCTCTTCCCAGCCTCAGCATGGAACCAGCGAGGCGCCCGTGGCGGTGACTCAGCCCACTCTCTTGGCAACACGTGGCAATGTCTCAGTTGCTCATGGCGGTGTCTCAGCCCGGTCTCTCGGTGGCTCATGGTGGTCTGTCAGCCCGGTCTCTCGTCTTGGCGTGGCTGTATCTCCGTGTGCAAATAGGTCCTGCCCAGGCATGTTCTGGAGCCAACAAGAGAAGATCCGGGGAGACA